GGGGGGGGGGGGTTAATTGAAGCTCAGAGTCCGTACCGCAAAGAAAACACCACACTTCACCGTTACAAAGATCATGGAACATGGACTTGCCATTTGGCCTGGAAGGGAGACGCTTACCTGGATGTGTGGATGCAGTCCCAGGAGGAACAGAGCCCAAGACAGCCCAGCGCTGGTCGTGTCGTGACCCTGAGAAGACACACAATGTTATTGTACGTATCTGCACGAGGAGATATTAGTGATATGACTCAGAAAACTGAAATTGACGCACCTCAAACATGAATGTGTCCACTTCCTCTCTCAGTTCTTCGTCCGTCAACTTGACGCCGTCGACTGACGCCTCCAGCAGAAGATCCAGGAACGCTTTCCTCTTCTTGGCTGCAAGAGTGAAACAAGTGGTGTCGGACTTTTACTTTTGTGGACCACGAGACGCTCTTGCACACAAATCGAGAATGTGTTGAGGGGAATATAGGATTCGAAAGGAGAGGAGAACGGAGAAAATTCGGGCGATCTTATTTTAATACTATTCTGCCATCTACACCTCGTTCTTCCGAGTAGTACTTTTCATTGAGGTTTTTGAATGAAATTTTTGTACGAATTTCTCATATCTCGATGCGCGCTACATGCCCCGCCAATCTCATCCACCTTTGATGTGCTCAATCGTAATATTTGGTGAAGAGTTTATAAATCCAACCTAGGTCCAAATATCCCCCCTCAGAACACTTCTCAGACGTCCTCAATCTTTTTTTTTTCTCTTAATGAGAGACGAACTTTACACCTATACAAAACATACGAGATCATACCGCTTATATTTTAATCATTACGTTTTTAAAGCGTCAGAATATTTCAGCTGGAGAATTGTTTTAAAACCGCGTTTTGTACCTATGGAAATGTCCTCGCCACTTGGTGCAAAGGTTTGTCCGCGTGTCGAGTCTTGAAGAGACGCTTTGCGCTCTTGGATAACCTGAAACAAGACGCAACTTTATTATACAGTTCTCCTACTGATTCTTGAATTATTTCAAATAATAATATCCCGTTATATACAGAGTGTCCCAAAATAATTTATACAATTATAATACTGAGTATTAACTTTAAGTGTGTATATCTTTTGGGACACCGTGTAGGGTAAATGGACTGGTTAATTACGTTACCCTGTTGGTGAATCCGTGGAGCACTCTGAGACACTGGTCAGTTCTTTTCCCTAATGTCGTGAATTTGAAGATGAAGTCAGGGTGTAACCACGGCCGGAGCATCCGGTGCATTATAATCTCGCTCATGCTGGAATATGATACAGCGGACTTGTACATGGGGCAAGTCACCGAGAAAACCTCCAACATCAACACTTCCATTTGGTTTGGTTCAAATATTTTCTTAAGCATTTTTGCTTTCAAGTTCTTCCTTGAAACAAATGTTCCTTATTTCAATAACAACGGACACGCACCTCATACACAACCCGGTATGTTATAATACTTTATATTTTGTGATTGCATTTATTTTGCTTGTAATACGATATATTTGAATAATTCCTTAAAATATTATAAATTAGAGTAATATTATTCCATTTCCTATTTCGGTAGCCTTATCACGATATGAAAATTAAAATTGATTTTGCAGATATAGGCACCCAGGCGCGTCTCCAAAAATAAAATCGAAGAAGCCTGGAGATGTAGTAAAAACGAGTAAAAACAAAAACAATATAAGCAGAGCAACAGATACACCAGATTTTAATTTTAATTTTGATAGACCTGACGATGATAAGATTGTATATCGAAACATGTCGTCAATTTTAAAATGTAACAATTTTATGTGAAATTTTATATGATTTTAACAATAAGCTTGTGTAAACGACGGAAAATAAAAGTATTGTAAATGTTCCTTGTTTCACAACCTGGCAAAGTGACGTAGCAAGAAAAGGAACGATGTTTTCAGAAAACGTACTTACTCGTACACAGCCTTGACGTAGTCCGATCCCCTGTCGTCCTGAGCGTAGATGGGAGTCCCCATGGCCGTCTCTGGAACAGAGCAGACTTTGAATGAAGTCTTCAGTAGCGCACTTAATTTTTTTTTTAAATTAAGAAAACTTAAGATGGCGTGTCAATGCACAGAGAATGGGGCGTATTTTCTCACCGCAGATAATGTCCAATGCGCACTTGGTGATGTAGGGATACACGTCGAAGCCCTGAGATCCGACTTCCTTCTGCAGCTTTCTGACCAAAATCTCGCTCTTCTCCGAGAACACTTCCACGAAGTTGTCCAAGATCTTGAAGTGGAAAGTCGGCGTTATCATCTTCCTGTGGGTGTGCCACTTCTGACCTGGTGACAATAGTTGCCAAATAAAGCACGCCAAACTTCCGCAAAGCAAGAGACATTTTTGTTAGCAGCGGTGAAGATGTCCGTGTTGATCTTCTGGGTTGTAATGCCATTCGGACTTGTAAAGTTTCGGACGATCACTTTCAGCCCTGACGAAGTAGGGTGTGTGTCGCTCCGAAACGTTGGTATTTTCAGTACAAGTCCACACACCGTTCAACCGACTGCAAAACTAAAATTATATTTAACGTTCTAAAAGCACAGTGGTAACTATATGTACCACCTCCTTCAACAATAAATAATTCTTCGTGTTTCATTTATGTATTTCGTATGATTCTCAGAATAAACAGCGATTATTTCCTTAAACAGCGTTAACCAGTTGATCTTTGTAATGGTGAAGCGTGGTGGTTTCTTCGCGGTACGGACTGGATTCTTAAATATTATGCACGCAGTGCGTGTCTCGTTATAAACAGCGATTATTTCCTTAAACAGCGTTAACCAGTTGATCTTTGTAATGGTGAAGCGTGGTGGTTTCTTCGCGGTACGGACTGGATTCTTAAATATTATGCACGCAGTGCGTGTCTCGTTATAAACAGCGATTATTTCCTTAAACAGCGTTAACCAGTTGATCTTTGTAATGGTGAAGCGTGGTGGTTTCTTCGCGGTACGGACTGGATTCTTAAATATTATGCACGCAGTGCGTGTCTCGTTATAAACAGCGATTATTTCCTTAAACAGCGTTAACCAGTTGATCTTTGTAATGGTGAAGCGTGGTGGTTTCTTCGCGGTACGGACTGGATTCTTAAATGTTAGCCTATGCAGATGAGATTCGGGCTTTAAAGCGACTGAACTTGTAAGTGAAAGAGGACATTAAGGCGCACCTGTGGATGTGAGAAGGCCCGTTCCAAGCCACTGATGCAGGAACCTGTAGAAGTGAGCTTTGTCCAGGTGCTCGCTGCTTCTTAAAATCACCTGAATCAGAAAACCACACGCCTCGTATTTACGTATTACGAAGGAAGAAGAAGGAATTGGAGACAGACAAAGAAGTTAGGAGAGGAATGTGCATTGGCAGCTCTCGTTCCTCACCTCGATGTCTTCCGGCCTCTGAAGGTGTACCTGCGGTATGCGTCCAGTCCACGTCCGGAAAATCGGACTGAACACGCGGCTGATCGTCAAGACGTACTTGAATATCTCTGCGAACAAGGGAACACAAGTAGCGCTACTTCGTACAGACCTTTTGCGAAAGCGACAGGCCATATTCGAGTGAATTGTCCAGCAAACCCTGTGGAACTGGGCAGGGGAGACCGGCCCGTGTTGCAACAAATTTCGAATTTGATTTTTTTTTTTTTTTTTTTTCCCCCAGTAATATTTAGCGATTATAGTAATATCCGTGATGTATTATCATCACATGCCATTTGTGGATGTATACAGAAATAAAAATCATTACGTTAGAGTAGGATTCAAGTGACAGCATTACGAATAGAAACATGACGAAACTGTTGTAAACTGGCATGTCGCAACACGTAATATTTAGCTTGCTGATGATGCATGTTTCTTAAACGTGTGTATGAAAACTGTTAACTTCCTCTGTATTCTATTAACAATTTATAAGTATCTTGTGTTCTATTGCGCATTAAATTTATATTTTGATACAGCGGAAATAATAAACTGAGCTACTCGACGTGACGTGGCGCTTTGTGGAGTTAGTTTTAAATAATGTAAACAATTTCGTGTCTAAGGATAAGGTGTGAAGTGTCGTCTCGCCTTGACCTCAGTAAATTAAATTAAAGTCGTCCCTTTAAATGCTAATGTAGGCGCTTGGGGGGGGGGTCTTTTCATTGACCTCGGCACTAGGTGGGGAGTGAGTGGTCAGCGTCACGCCTTGGCCACACCATACCCCCGGGAAAAGACCCCGGTACCCATAGGATAGGAGGCTGGGTGGGCCCCAGAGCCGAGGTCTGGAGGAAGAATTCTGTGCGAACAAATCGCGGTCAGGTTTAAGAGGGCACACACACAAAGTTCACTCACCATTTCTCTTGAGAAAGATTAGGGGCGGTGCAGTGCCAAGTATAGGGTAGTTTGTTGGCCCACGCAGTTTGTTGACCCGACTGGCAACTTCGGATTTTTTCTTATCAGCCCGTAGCAGAATCAGGACAGCGATGCCGATGAGACCAGCCGCCAAAAATACAGTAATCGGCTCCATGGCAACGGGCGCCTGGAAAGATATGAGACGCAACACGCAGTATACAGTCGAATTGTACTTCCGAGATCGCTGTTTGATTCGGCTCATAGCCACCAGAATGCGCCGGGGCACACAGAAAAAAAACAGGTCTTATTTGTGATATATGCGATTTTTGGAGAAAAAAAATTTGAATATGAGATTTTAGGTTGTCACCACGGAGAATTTACAGCTCTGAAGATGGAGGCAGAATTCTCCTCCGAAACATTGGTATCTGACTAGAAGTCCGCACGACGAAACGACCCAGAAGACGAACATCGACAATTGTTTTTTCTCGTGCCTGGTTCAGATGGAAAATACACAGGTTAGGTTAGGGTTTGTGCTGAATTAAATTGTCCGCCCTAAGTTGATAACATTTCGTGCGAATTTATACACTGTAAAACCAATGAACCGGTTTTGTTGCTGTTTCGCTTCGGTGGACTGCGTAACGCAGTTATCTGTGAATTACGATGATAATGATGACACTAGGTCCGGGTCATTAACAGTAGACTCGCCCTCCATCTTGACCCTGATGACTCGGCGGAAACAAGGAGCCAAAGAATTAGGGTGTCGACCTTCGGAAACTAAAGTTTGAGAATTTTGACGAAATAAACGTTTCTACCTGTAATCAGACGTTTTAGGAACAAATTAATCCTTATTTTTTTAAGAAAAAAAAATTGTTTCCAGTGGATAGTTAAGGAACTGATTAACACAGCGGTAAAAGTTTTATTCGCATTCGAAAGTCACTTGTTCTAGAGGTTTGCCTTACCTATTATTTGGCGTGAAGAAGCTTAAGACACACGAGGATACGTGATTTAATTAGATTCTATTTACCTTTTTTGTTTCGTCGACACAAATGATTCTATTTTTATTATTATTTCGTTGTCACCACAGCTTCAGCAGTCTGCTTCTGTCAGGAGCAGTTTCGGTGCTTATATATCTTCTGCGCAGAATCTCTGCTCTGCTGTTTCATGCTGGCCCTCGGTTTAGTGGGTGGGCGGTTCGAGAGAAGGGGAATTTCAGATGGGATTGGTCATGAAAAGCAAATAGCAGATAAAGAGGAATTGTACTAGGAAAAGAGTACAAGGCGAAGAAGAAAATAATGAGAGGAAAGGGAACGAACCCAGAAAACTGAAAGACTTTCCCTGAAACGAAGCCCGTAGAATGTGACCAGATGCAAAGGCGTGGAAATATTTGATTCCTCTGTTTTACTTTCTGCAGATTTAAAATAAAGTAATGGATATTCGGAGTAGAGAATGAATGAAAGGGAACTGAAGGGCGAATAGTAAAATTCTGCCTTTTGTGCATGATTTGTGAGAATATGCACGTGTTATCGAAGTGACGACAGGGGCCCACTGAGGTCAGAGGACGGACAAAAGAATATCTCGTCTCCCCTTGAGGCTTTCAGCTCTACAAGCCGATTAGTTTCGTTCATAGCATGGAAGGAATAATCTTTTTCCTAATGGACTTTTCCAATGCTGAGCCAAGTGACCAATCGCGAGATCAAGATCACATTTGAATGCCTCCACGAGATGCTCGGGTCTCCTAATCATGACCGGTTCATAAATAAAATTGACAGTAGAACCAATTTCCCTAGTTAACGTTCAATAACGTTAAACTGTAAAGTATATTTGTACTGAAATAAAGTTTTATTTACACATCAATATATATACCTTTACATCTCATCTATACGTGACGTCATCCGCCGCCATCTTGTCTATGTGTTGCGTCTTGTACTCCACACACTCGCTCTAGAACCGTTCTTTGTTACGAAATAAATGGCCAAAACTCCTAAACCGTGAGAGTTAGCTGAAATCTGTTTGCAAATTCGAAAATCTCGTGTTTATTTACGTATTTCACTCGCAATATGTCGAGATCTAACTCTCACGCTTTAGACGTGGCGAGCGGTTGAAGTTAAGGAACGAGGGTGCAGTTATTACATGTTTTGGGTAATTGTTTCAACAATTTATAGAATAAAGACAACATCATGTAGAAAAAGCCCTTTATTTACTCTTTAATTTACATACAGGTTTATATTCTCTATCTTACATAAGTCTCGAGTTACTGGCGTTTGAAAAAGTAACCTTACGTCTTACAGTTTCCGTCTGATTTTATAGACGTTATTCAAGGTTAAAATACATAAGGAAAAAGTGACATTCAGTTACACTGAAAATTGTTTCACTCTTCCGGGTGCGAACAGCGGATTGTAGGTCACTTTGTAAAGATCTAGCAGAAGGCGCTCAGTAAAGTGAGTGTAGGTGATTATGGGGGCAGTAACCTCAGAAACGACTGTAATGAGCGCACTCCTTATTGTAAATAAGTGATAATATACTCGTATACCGGAAGTGTCACGTTTGCAGGCTGTGCGATGACGTTATAAGTAGGATTCCCCACTTCCGCGCATCGGAAACTCGTGTGAGCCCGTTGTTGTCCCACTTTTCGACAGAAATTAAAATGTTTCGACAAAATTTATGAAAAATCCGGAATATGAAGTTTTGTGAAAAATTATTTTTGCCGTTGTTAAATGCGGACTGACACACATACACGGCGCAGTTCAAAGAAGGAGATTTTATTTTGTGGGCGCGTCTGAAAAATGTCAGTCATTATTCCAAGGATCATTTCGCAAGAATGCAGCTCAAAAGTCAACATAACCATGTTCATCTTTGCTTTAACGAAATCCTTGTGCGACGACATTCATGTGCTGTCTGTCCTCGTTCTTCCGCGTGTTATGACGAGCCTTAATCCTTTTTCAGGACTCAGGACTAACTCTCCAACAAGTTTCATTTCCTCTCTCTTGTCAAGGGAACGCAGTTCGTAATGACGTAGAATGTAGGAGAGCACCGTCTTCTCCTCGAGCAGGGCGAACTTCTGCCCTATGCAGTTCCTGGGGCCTGCGCTGAAGGGGGTGTAGGCGTAGGGGTGTCTCTTTGCTGCCATCTCCGGCAGGAAGTTGTCCGGGTCGAACTTCTCGGGGTTGGGAACTGACCAGGGTTCCGATGGAGGACGTACATATGCAGAATAAAGGGGCAATGTCGTCAATCTGAACAGTCAAGCTGAATGTTTTGTAAAAAAGAACGTGAGAATGGCGAAACACGCTAATTACACACTTAGTATGTCCGCGCATGTGTTATTTGGATTCCAAATAGTTTTCCTGCGTGTACGCACTTCATAACTCGTCACGTGACCTCGAAGACAAACAGGAGTTTCAGAGGTGAAGTGGATGGTTGTACAACCTTGAAAATGAACAAGGTTTTTCTACGACGCAGTTATATAACGAACAGTGCGTTAGTCTGCCAATTGAGCAGGTAAATCCATTACGTACAGAATGTTTAATTTAAAATGGAGCCAAAGGCGACATCGGCATAACAGCGCGAAGGAGTAGTTTCTTAAACGTAGCAGAGCGTCTCATCTGTCAGCGCTGTCCGACACCGGACGTACCACTTTCGGTGTCCTATTCGCTACTTCCTTGTCAGGATACGCGTTCGCTAAAGTACGAGGTGCGATCGATGATGACGAGCGTTCTGGACGACCATCTTCGAGCACAACGCCCGAAAATGTTACGAAGATCGACGTCGTACTATCAACGACTTGTGCGACATTGTTGGGATAGGCTATGGGACCTGTCAGCTGATTCTAAAGGAAGAACTCCACATGCGACGCATCATGACAACGCACCAGCGCACACCGCCTTCAAAGTTCGGCAGTTTTTGGCCTCAGACACCATGGCCGTCATCCCACACCATCCTTATTCGTCGTGTGACTTCTTCCTCTTCCCAAAGATGAAAATTCAGCTAAAGAGAAGGAGATTTTAGACGATAGAAGAGATTCAGGCAGAATCGCAGATGGTGCTTGACAGGCTGACAAAGAAAGATTTCCAGGGATGCTTCCAGGCTTGGCAGCGGCGCTGGGATCGTTGTGTTCACTCCCAGGGGAACTACTTCGAGGGTGATGGATGAATTTAATACCTGAGATAAGTGTACGGGTTTTTATAGGCGCAGTCTGGAAACTTTCCGATCGCACCTCGTAGGTTGGACGTGCTTCTGATATTATTTTTGTACTGTAGTAAGCGGTTGTTGGGTTGCGTTTTAAATGGCACACCCTGTTTAACGTAGTGCAGCGTTATCGCCGAGACAATATTACGCAACACTTTGAACTCGCTGGCGCAAAGTTACAGGTGTTAATTACTTCGCCAACCGTTCATCATTTCTGTTGATAATGAGCGTATATTTGACTTGGAGGAAAAGCTGACCAGGAATTATGACGCCATAATTTTAAAATTCCGTTCCATATTTAAACCACAATTTTTCGTCAGCTTCTGTTTGAAAATGTTCAGATATTTTATGGATATATTACTCGGTATTTGAGGCTTCCGTAACGCAAATATTTAAATATACTCGCAGTACCATAATTTTTACCTGTTTTTACGTGTGAAAGCCTGACTGTCGCGTTAAGGGACGATAGCACGCAGAGATCCATAATTTATACTGTTCGACACTTATTATCAGGATGATAAAATCAAGGACGAGATAGGCGTGCAAAATTTTGGTTCTAAAAGCGTTAAGGGAAGTGTATGTGTAAGGATAATATTAAAATGGATCTTGGGGTAAATGAGTAGGATGGTTTGGATTGATCTGGCTCAGGATATGAATGGATTTATTTGGCATTTCAAGGACTCTGTTTGACGCAGGTAGGCATATTGCATTTTCAGAAAACGTCGTAGTGCAAATTACCCATATCACAGTGCAAGAATGGTCTAAGGAGCATTAGTGCAACAACGACGTACGTTATTCGGATGTCAGTGAATTTTTTGCTGTAATTTATATTTTAAACGACGTTCTTGGTATTCTATTACGTATCTTTACGTCTTTTTTGGGTTATCGTGCCACGATGGGAACTCCTTGATCATTCATCGTGGTAGAGCGGTCAGATGCTTTGAAGTTGCTGCCCTGCTCGCGACACGCCCTGTCCTGTGGGCATTTAAATTGCATAAGCGCTTGAAAATACTACAGGTTAGCCAGCCTAATCAGGTAGGTATAGTTGCCTGTATGTCTGGATGCAGCCCGAGTAGGAACAGAGCCCAGGCACACCCCAGAGCTACTCGTGTCGTGACCCTGGGGAACAGAGTGTGAGTGTCGTCTAATTTATCGCACCACAAACTCCGTGGAACAGAGGCGTTCTTCAGTAGTTGGTGCAGTGGATTTTCACCTACTATCCTCACTACACGCCTTGAAAGCGCTTCGGGGAGGAGAGATGGGATGGTTAGATGTTAGATCGCAGATGGTGCTTGACAGGCTGACAAAGAAAGATTTCCAGGGATGCTTCCAGGCTTGGCAGCGGCGCTGGGATCGTTGTGTTCACTCCCAGGGGAACTACTTCGAGGGTGATGGATGAATTTAATACCTGAGATAAGTGTACGGGTTTTTATAGGCGCAGTCTGGAAACTTTCCGATCGCACCTCGTAGGTTGGACGTGCTTCTGATATTATTTTTGTACTGTAGTAAGCGGTTGTTGGGTTGCGTTTTAAATGGCACACCCTGTTTAACGTAGTGCAGCGTTATCGCCGAGACAATATTACGCAACACTTTGAACTCGCTGGCGCAAAGTTACAGGTGTTAATTACTTCGCCAACCGTTCATCATTTCTGTTGATAATGAGCGTATATTTGACTTGGAGGAAAAGCTGACCAGGAATTATGACGCCATAATTTTAAAATTCCGTTCCATATTTAAACCACAATTTTTCGTCAGCTTCTGTTTGAAAATGTTCAGATATTTTATGGATATATTACTCGGTATTTGAGGCTTCCGTAACGCAAATATTTAAATATACTCGCAGTACCATAATTTTTACCTGTTTTTACGTGTGAAAGCCTGACTGTCGCGTTAAGGGACGATAGCACGCAGAGATCCATAATTTATACTGTTCGACACTTATTATCAGGATGATAAAATCAAGGACGAGATAGGCGTGCAAAATTTTGGTTCTAA